CACTTATTATAAGATAGCACCACATCAATACTTGAAGGTCTTCCTGAGTCCGTCTTTATTCGATGGGAACGATTTGTCTGCTGAACTGGGCTCCAGTGACTAACATCTTTGGAGTGGCCAGGGTCAGAAGCAGTGAAATTCACATTCTCGTCGAGCTGCCTCAGGTCGACAGTAGAACAAGATTTGTTTTTTTGGTTCTTACTTTGTCTTGTTCTCATTTTCGCTCTTTAAGCCAACGGCCCGTGGAGTTCCCAAACGGTCACCCATCCAAGTACACACCACGCCCAATGCTGCTTAACTTCGGTGATCGTACGGGAACCGGTGTGACCAGCACGGCATGGCCGTTGACTTTTATTATTATTATTATTATTATTATTATTATTATTATTATTATTATTATTATTATTATTATTATTATTTTGTTTGCCGTCGCGAATTTATGTTTTCACTTTCTTTTTTTTTTTGTTGGAAAATTTTTTCTTTTTTTCTTTTTGAAATTTAAATAATTTTTATGAATATAATTCGAATCCTTGATGATGAATCATAAAATATTCTTCGAATTTTATTATTTTTATTATTATTATTATTTCTTTTGTCATTGGTTCGTTACCTTTGTTCCATTACTAAAAAAAAAAAAGAAGTTTTAAAAAAAAAATTTTTTTTTTTATTCAATCGCGAATGATAATAATAATAATAATAATAATAATAATAATAAAGAATAAATTTTAACAAAATTATTATAAAAGAAAAAAAGAAAAAAAAAGGAAAAAAAACATTAATCATTTTTAATTGGTTGGAAATTAATTGAAAATAAAAAAGGTAAAAATCAAAGGAAAAAAAAAAAAAAAAACAATTTTTTATAGATGAACGGAGTAAAAAAAAAAAAAAAAAATTTATTAAAAATGTTTTTGACATGAAAAATTTTTAAATTTTTTTATCGTGGTTGAAACCACGTTTATTTTTCACCCCCCCCTGAACCGCAAATTCGCGTTGGGGGGGCGGTAATGAACGGCGGCTAACGATCGAACGGTTAGCGAACGGTTATTGTTTTTAATAGTTAATCATCATTAACTCCTTTTCGTTTTTGTAAAACGCTGGATAATTTTATTATTATTATCATTATTATCTTCTTCTTCTTGTTGGATGAAATTTCCTTTGTGCGACACCCGCAAGGGGTCAAAAGGTTACGCCTTGGTCAAAAATAAAATACAAAAAAGACCGCAATGGTTTTTTTTTCGTTTATAGGTATTTATCTTGGGTTTTATTTTCGACTACTTTCGGGTTAATTTTTTTTTTCCTCTAACCTTTTTTTCACGTTCAGGTGTTTATCATTTCTTTTACCCATTCCGTTATCATTTGCCATTAAAAAAAATCAACACATTTAAAGGTGTTTTTTTTTTTTCCTGGAAAAAAACTCTCCAGTTGTCCGTTTAAAAAAAATTAAATAAAAACGTCGACGTTTATAAAAAAAAAAAAAAAATTATCAAAATTTCAAATCAAAAGTTTTTTTAAAAAATAATAATAATAATTAAACGTTCAAGAAGAAACGAGAGAGAGAGAGAAAGAGAAAAAGTTTTTTTTTTGTTTTATTTTGGAATATAAAAAATGGCAAATAAAAAAAAATGAAAGACGGATGCTGGAGAAAAAAAGAGAATGTGAGAAAAGAATAAATTGAAGAAAATGTAAAAAAAAGGGGGGAAAATCACCACCGACAACGTCTCGCAAAAAATCTTTTAAAAAAAAAGGCAAAAAATTTCATTCTATTTTTTTTTCATTCTGGAATAAATAAAACTGGAACGAAAAATATTATGGAGAAGTAAAATGTGAAAGAAAAATATATATGTGTGTGTGTGTGTGTATAGAAAAAAAAAAAAAGTAAAATTTATGTAGGTGAAAAATTTTCCAAGGTAAATTTCAATAAAATCAAATTTTTTTTTTCTTTTTTTTTTTATAACGTATCGTAGCAAATCTTTATCGTAGCAAAAATTCCAAAAAAAAAACACATAAAAATACTACAAAAAAAAAAACTGGAGAGAGAGAGAGAGAGAAAGAGGGATAGAAAAAAAATTTCATTTTCATCCAATTTTTTTTTTTTTTTTTTTAACGGCCCCCCTTTTCGATTTCCCCCTCCTCCCACACTGCCAGCCCACTCCCCTCCTCTCGTAAAATTTTTTTTTATTATTTATTTTTACGTACCTGGAAAAAACTTTCTCCAAACGAAATCTTTTTCCAGTTTTTTTTTTCCCCCAATCGTTTTACTCCTTTTAAATTTTTTTTTTTTATTATAAAAAAACCATAACCGCAAATGTTTAATTTATGAATAACAACAACAACTTATTCACGTCGTTTTTTTTTTTGTATGAAATAAACCTTTCGCATTTCATTTTTTCCTCCCAATATCATCATCATCATTATTTTTACCCCTTTCTTCAGTTATTTATTTATTTCCCCCCTTTTCCTCATCAGTACGTCCGTTTGAAAAATCTGGAAAACAGCAATAATTATTGCAACGCTGGAGAGAAGGAAACAAAAAAAAAACTGGAAAAAGGTAAAAATTAATTAAAATTGTTCCGTAATTTTTTTTTTTTTCGGAAAATTTGATCGCCGTTTATTTTATTTATTTATTTTTTTTATTTCACCTTTGACCTTTTTTTTGTATTTATTTAACCTTTTGTAACCTTTTACCAACGTCCCTTATTTACGTGGGGGTGAAATATAATTTTTTTCTCTTCTTCCTCCTTCTTCTCCCTTTTTTCCCTTTCGTTTTTTTTTCCCGCCAAAAATTTTTTGTTGCATACGTAGATAATGATGATTATTTATTATTCGAATTGAAATTTTTCCCGCCAAAAATAATAATAATAATAATAATAATAATAATAAGGAAATAAAATTTAATTATTTATATCGAAATGAATTTAATTAAAAATTTTTTTTTCTTTTCTAGAATCTCACAAAACCTTAAAAGGTTAATTTTAATTTTTTTTTTTTGTTGAAAGGAATGAATGAGTGAATGAATGAATGAATGAATGAATGAATGAATGAATGTGAAAAAGGTAAGAAGAATAATACGACGGGGAGGAGGGGAGGGAAAGGAAAAATCAAATCATTTAATCTTTTTTTTTTGTTTGTTTCTTTTAAAAATTTTTATTTATGAAAAATTATTATTATTATTATTATCATTATCATTATTATTATTTTTATTAGGGAAAAACCTTTTTACGATGTAAGAAAAGGCTGTAAAGAACATCGTTCGCTAATCAACTTTATTCATTTATTTATTTATTTTTTTTATTGTTTTTTCTTTTTTTTTCTCCTAAGTTATAAAAATAAAATTGGGGAGTTTTGTCAATTATGTTTCTTCTCCCTCCTTTCCCCGCCTCCCACTCCCCGCTGTCGTTTTATTTACCGCCTCTTATATATATAATTGCCCGAAATTCGTCGTAATTTTTTTTTAAAACCTTTTTTTCCTCCGGAAAAAGTAAAAAATTTAACGACGCGTTTATTACTACGATCGTCTGTAATTTACAAAAAAAAATTCAAAATGGAGGATTTCCTGTTGTTGTCGTTGTTGTTGTTTTCCACCCAACCAAATTCCTGTCGTGTTTTTAACCAAAAAAAAAAAAAAATTTAGATTTAATCGTTACTCGCGACCGATACGACTAATTTTAAAAAGCCGTATTTATTATCATTATTATTATCATCATCATTTTTCTAAATTCCGATATGTAATATAATAATAATAATGATAGCACTGTATGTGACGTAAAATAAATTGAATTTGACAAATGTTGGTTACTTTTTTTTTTTTTTTATTCCAATATCAAAAATTTTATTGAATTGTCGTTTTCGAGTTTTTTTTTTTTTTTAAATTTTCTTGTTTTCAATTTATTTTTATTATTATTATTATTTTAAAAGACCGTTTTTTTTTCTCCAGAAATAGCCAAACGAAAATAAAAAAGAAAACAAATAAATAATATTGATAATTTTTTTTTATGTTTTTTTTTCTTCCCGATCGAAATCGAGAAGAAAAAAAAAAGAAAATTATTATTATTATTAGTATCACATTGAGTTTTTTTAATAAAAATCCTGTAGGTCTTTAAATCGGTCCTGTAATTCCAGAGTCCTTCCAGAATTTCATTTTACCATAAATTAAATCAAATCGTTTCTGTATCGTGGAGTTTCTCGCTCGCTTTACACTCGTGTAAAAATATTATTATTATCACTATTATTATTATTATTATTTATAATTTTAAGGAAGATGACTATTAATTTGTGTTTCCAGAGATTAATTCCAGGTTTCCACGCGATTCCTCTTTCTAAAATAAAGTCTTGGGTTGAAGAATGTGTGATTCACGCACATTTTCCTTTAAATTTCAGTGATTTTCCCGCTGGAATATTCCTTTCCGTAATAATTTCTAGAAAAAAAAATATTCCAGGGCAAATTTCATCGTTTCTTCCCCCCCTCAACCCCCCAGGGTTTCTCTTAATCATATCAAGCGCCACAAAATTAATCGGTCGAATGTTTTAAAAATTTTTATCGCCATTAAAATTACCTTTTTCTACAACGCGGTGTGTTTAATCCTTCATTATTATTATTATTATTATTATTATTATTATTATTATTATTATTTGTAAAAAAAAAAAAACGGTTTTTGTGACGAATGATGACGTAATCGTTTAAATGAAATCAATTAATTATAATTTTATTAAATTTTTTCTTTTTATCAACCGATATACTAATCTAAAAACAGATATTGAATTTTCACGATCAATTTGATAATAATCCTTTTTTCCTTTTCTTTCCTTTATTTCCTTTCCATTTCTTTCTTTTCTTTTTTTTTTTATTTATATTAAATTTTAAAAATTCTTTCGTGTGCACTTGAACATTTTCCTCTTTTTTTTTCGTTAAACGGCCATTTTTTCGTAAACGACAACGACCTTAGAAAAAAAAAAACGTGAGCGATTCCTTTTTTTTTCTCCAGTCAAATAGGAAAATGATTGCGGTCGAATCATAGAAGAATTCGATGACGTCACTGATGATTTTTTTAAATTGAATTTATTTTCGCGAAAGAAATTACTGGGAAAAAAAAATCCAAATTAAAAATTTTTTTTTTTTTTTTTTTTTTTTTCACGCATGGGGATTCTTATTGACTTTTCAAATCGTTTTTCCTTGATAGCGTTCCATTTAAATTTAGTTAATAATATTTACCGATAGGATGCGCTCATCGTCAACTTTTTTATTCGCGTCGATTTTCCGGAAGTCCGGGTAAAAAAAAAAAAAATTAAATTCGACCATCCGATGTTTTTTAAAACGTAACGATTTTAAATTATGTACTCCTTAACGTTACGTAATTAAATTATATTTCCTAATTCGTTTGGTTAAAAGGTATTTTCTCGTTTGTCACACACACACGAAAATACCGTCGGAGGTTAGGTTTCAACGGTGTAAAAAAAAAAAAATGGAGTCATAATACTTACCGATCATTATTGCTGCTTTACTTGTCGTTCTTTTAGCTCTGTACGTGAGTGGACGAGTCACGGAAAAATATCTATCGAATGAAATAATTAGAAGATTCAAAACTGATGCGTTACTTGCTAGATAATCTAAAGCCAACCAGGTATCGCATATGTGTCTACCTAGTGGCCAGTAGCCCAATATGGTCGACACCGTAAAAAGAGGCATTGATATGAGTCCGATGGCAAAATCGGCAACCGCGAGACTGAAAACAAATAAAAAAAATTACCCTTTAACCTTTTATCATTTAAATGATAACAACAACAATAGCACAAGGCGTAAAAATTAATAATAATAAATTATGGGACGAACTCGTAACGTAATAATCAATTACGTCACTTAACCCGAGAATTTTCGTCGTTTTGATTTTAAATTTCTATTTAATTATTAATAAATAAATAAATAAAATTATCGTTAAAAAAAAAAAAAAACTTTTACGTAAGTTAATTATTATGTTAATAATTTTATCATCATCATCATCATCATTATTATTTAAAAAAAAAAAAAATAAAGTTTAGTTTACCTGAAACGAATTTAAAAAAAAAAAAAAAAATTAATTTAAATCAAATTAAAAAACAAAACAAAAAAATAAAAACAGATTTTAAAATTTTTCTTTTTTTTTTTTTTAAACAAAAACGGGGAGGAAAAAAAGCTTTTTTTTAAAAACTTTTTTGTGGAATTTATTTAATTATAAAACCCCAAATTATTATAAAAAGGAAAGGATAGAAAAAAAGGAAAGAAAAAAAAGGAAGAAAAAAGTTAGAAAAAAAAAGTATTTAATTACAGTATTTAATGATGTATCAAAGATCGAAATTTTATAAATATTTTTTTTTTATCACAGAAATCTATAACCGGAAATTATAAAGTTTTAAAACGGTATTACCAACGTTTAAAAAAAAAAAAAAAAATTTCCCCCCGATGTCTGTAAAAATTCCCTTTATTGTCTGTAAAAAAAAAAAAAAAAAAAAATCGAGCGTGATTTCTGGTCTATTTTATTTGTTTTCATTAAAAAGGGGATGTGAAAAGTGTGATGGCGGGTGGGGGGATGATGGTGGTGGTCGTCGTCGTCGTCGGGTAGATAAATTATGGAAATTATTAAAAATTCCAAAATCATTTTTTTTCTCTCTCAAACGTTTTATTACAAACTTTTTCAAAAAAAAATAACAAAGTTACCAAGAATTTCCTTAATCGGGATTTAAAGGTTTGAAAAAGATTTAAGGTTCGGACGGTTGACGCCGATGTCACCGCCACCGCCACCGCCGCCATCACCACCGCCACCATCACCACCGCCACCATCGCGAAAGGATTGTGGGTTTTTTATTTTCGTTTAAAATTTTAAACGGTTTTTCCTATTTTTTTTTTTCATAAATTTTTTAGACTTGACCTATTTTTTAAACTTTTTTTATTTTTTTTTAAAATGAATTTTATTGTCTACACTTTAACGTCCTCTCTCATTCCCCTCCCCATCCCTCTTCCCTCCCCTCCTCCTTTTTTGCACACAGAACTTTCCGACAATTATTCACTCGTATAATAATAATAATAGTATTAATGATAATGTGTAAAAATTAAATTTTTCGGATTTTTATTTCTGCGGAGGGAAAAAAAAAAAATGAAAATAAATTTTCATTTCCCCTTTCTCCCTTCTCTCTCCCTCCCTCCCTCCCCCCGAACCTTTTTCCAGTCGAAATAAAAAAAAAAAAACAAAAATGTTTTTGTTGTTGTGTTTTTTTATCATAAACAAAACCGATTAAATTAAAATAACAATGATAATAATTTATACGCATGGAATCAAAAAAAATTTTTTTTTTTTTTTTCAAATTAAATCCTTCGTTCGGTCCTGGATTAATTTTAACATTTCACGTATTAAAAAAAAAAAATACAAAACCCATCCGCCTCCCCTCCCCGTCCCCGTCCCCCTTCCACATACTCATCTTTTATTTAATTTACGAAAAAAAAATAAAAGGAGGGGGGGAAAGAAAAACTTTTTATTTTTATTTTTTATAAAAATAAAAAGTTAAAAAGCAGAAGGAAAATGTTGTCAAATGTTATTAAAAAAGTTACAATCGTTTTTTTCTTTTTCGTTACTTTCTATTAGTTTTAGTAATAAAATATTTTTTTTTATATATTATATACGTGAGATTTAATATAAACGTGTATTTTATTAATATTATTATTAGTAAGGATTTTTAATATTTAATCAATGAAAACTCGATCATCAAATAACCCGATAATAATAATAATTTAATTTTCTTACGTACATATTTAAATTCTTTCTTTCTTTTAAAATTATTATCATTATTTTGTTATCACGGAAAATTTTAGTTAGTCGAGTTCATTTAAGAATTTTCCAGGATCCATTCCAGATTTTGATCGAAAATAATTGCTGGAATATTTACGGTTGTGTCTTTTTTGTAAGGGAAAATAACGTCGTCCCCCCAAAAAAAGAATTTTTATTACAAATTAAAGAAAATTTTGAAGAGGAAAATTTAAAAACAAAAAAAAAGGCTGTCGTCAGTCGCCGTACACGTAATCAATATAATCGATATAAAAAAAAAAAATTTATGACGTCATTAATATGTAAAAAAAAGGAAAACGGAAACAGTTAGAAAAAAATTTATTTTGGTTTATACGGAATAACAATTTGAATTATTTTTATTTATTTTTTGTTATTGAAAAAAAAGGATTTATAACGACCTTTTAACCTTTTTTTTTCCACATTATCGAAAATTAATTTATGGCAATTAAAAGAAATTATTAAAAAAAAAATTTCCTTGTGCGTGTGCGGTTGTGCGCGTTACGCTCGTTTGAATTTTCCAGCTGTAAATTCTTTTAACTTTCTAACGAATGTTTACTGCCGCCGCGTTTCGTCTAGTCGAAAATGTTAATAATAATAATAATTAATGAAAGACTCGACGATCCGACCAATGAGAAATCGAGAAAATTTTATTAATCGAAAGATTTTTTAAGTCGATTATTTTTTTAACCGGAAAACCTTTTTGCGCAAGACATTCTCTCTCTCCCTCTCTCTCTTTCCCTCTTTCTTTTTTTTTTTTAAACAAATTTATAATCCGTATTAAATAAATTAAATTTTATTTATTATACGTATAGAGAGAGAGAGGGGGGAGGGGAAGTTTAGCAGAAGAAAAAAAGAAAAAATCGAAAGAAAATCGCGTTATCGATATTTAACAAAAAAAATTTTTTTTTTTTTTTGCTTTTCGTTGAAAATTTTAAAAGCTAAAAAATCACTTTTTGGCAACTCCCCATGTTTTCTATGTGTGGTGTGGGGGGATGGGGAGGGTTAAAAAGCGGTTGGGAGGGGGTTGAAAAAAAATTTCCGATATCTATAAAATAAAATAAAAAAAATAAATAAATAAATTTAAAAGTTAAGAAAAATCCGGGAGAAAAAAAAATTTGAAATTTTATTTTTCGTATTTCGATTTTTAAATTAATTTTCATTTGCAAAAAAAAAAAAAATTTTTTTTTTCTTTGTTTGTTTGTTTCTTCTCCAGAATAAAGAGTATTACTCATGGAAAAAAAAACCCTGTAAATTTTTATTCTCCAGGAAACGGGAAAACTTTTGTCATGAAAAAAAAAAAACATTAAATTAATTAAAATTAATTTTGGGTTCCTTTAAAAATTTTTTTTTTATTTAAAAACAAATTAATAAAATTAATTTTACTTTCGAATGAATGAATAATAATGATGATAATATATATTCCAAGAAATTTGAAATGGGAAAATCCAAATGATGATGTTGATAACAAACGGTGGGAAATAAATGGGAACAAAGATGAGATAAACGAAAACGGAACGAATAAAGAGAGGGGGAGAGAGAGAAGGAGAGAAGAGAGAGAGAGAGAGAGAAGGAGAGAAGAGAGAGAGAGAGAGAAGGAGAGAAGAGAGAGAGAGAGAGAGGTAGAGGGAGTAAAAATGGGTTGTTGTTTGTTTAGTGCTTTTCAAGCTGAAAAAAGAAAAAAAGTACTGACGAGCCGAAAAAATAGATAGAGAGAGAGATGATAGAAAAATAAACGCGTTTGAATAATTTTTCGCGCGTAAATATTTTTAAAAATAACGATTTTTTTAATTAGGCTTCTCCCCCCACTCAAAACGGTTAACCCTTTTTGTAAAAGTTGATAAAAAAAAAAGAGGTGGACACAAGTCGAGGAATAATAATTAATTTACAAAAAAATGACTTAAAGGAAAAAAAAATTGGAAGAAGATAAAATTACGACACACGTGTAAATAGAAAAAAAAAAAAAAAGAAAAAATTTTTTATTATTCGTACCTGAATAAAAAATAATTGCTTATCGTTTGAAGTTGTTTGTCTATTTTGAAGGATATCATAACCATACAATTTCCGAGAACGGTGGCAATTGAAAGTGCACCAGCTAAAATGGCAATGACCACCATTTCCGGGATGGTATATGGAAGATCTCCATCCCCATCTTGCGAACATTTCGCAACGGTTTCGTTCATACCTTCCAACGCCAGCGTTCTCTCACATTCTGTAACAAACAAACAATCGTTAATCGTTAGTTCCTCGACATTTTTTTTTCTGCCGTGCGTAACCTCATCAGGACAGATAAATAAATAAGAAAAAAATTTTTTTTTTCCCCTTTAACTAAATGTCATTGACCTTTTTAAAACGATTACTTTCCTTTTGATATATATACGTATACATTTACTTACAAATTTTATCATCACCTGATGATGAAATTTTTATTAAAAGACTTTTTCGACACTCTCTGGAGAACCGAACGAACGAACGTTTTTTATTTTCCACGTGTGTGTGGCGTTCGAAAAAAACAACCGGAAATAGGAAATTCTTTGGGATAAATTTCATTTTTTTTTTTTTACTGCAGTAAAAGTTTTATCGAATTTATAAATTATAAAATTTGTTTTTTTTTCGAAATGTATCACCTGCCTCCCTTATATATATTTTTTTTTTTAAAGAAAAACTCGAAAAGAGATAGAGAGAGAGAGATAAAAGTTTAACGATTACAATATATAATAATAATAATAAAATTTGTGTAATTAAAATCCATGATCGAAGGTAAATAAAAATAAATAAATTTAGAATATTCAATTTTTCTTTTTTTTTTTTTTTTTTATTTCCGGGAAAATTCCCATTTCGAATAGAATTTATTTTATCGCGGAAAAAAGAGGAGGGAGAGGGAGGATGAGAGAGGGAAAAGAAGAGGAACAACCGCTTCCGGTTGTTAATTTTAAAGGAATTTAATCTTAATTACTCTCAAATAATACTCTACTCTTGATATAACAAGTTAGTTTTAATGAAAGCTAAATAAATATTTATTTTTTGTGGTTGATGAAGTAATAACAATAATAATAATAATAATAATAATAATAATAGTAAACAGTAATAATAATAATAATAATAATGATAATGATAATAATGATAAAAATAAAAAGTAAAAACGTATTAAATAAAAATCATTAAAAATGTGTCAGGGTCGCATTAAACTTGAGGCTGTTTTTCACTCTCTCTCTCTCTCTTTCTCATCATATGGCGCGTGTCCTTGCCGCAATTATCCGAAGATTTTTTTTTTTATATAGAAAACGCAATAATAATGATGATGGTGATGATGATGATGATAAATTATATAAATGAAAAAACGCGAATACGATCCGACTAATCCAAAGAATATTTTTTCCCTCACTTTAAAAACTTTTATTCTTATCAAGTTTTTTATGTGTGTGCGCGTGTGCGTGTGCGTGTACATCATAATTGAACTTATCAAATAAAATTTTGAGGAGAGAAGAAAGAAAAATGGCAAAAAATGCAATTTTTAAACGACTCATCAAAATCCGTCAGAGATTCTGAGAAGGAAGGAAGGAAGGAAGAAAAAAAATTGATTCAGTCAGCATCTCATCATTTCAACATTTTTCGTTAAAGCTGTTTGAAAAAATCCTCCAAAATTATTCTTCTTCGTGTCAAGAGTTTATTATTAGACAATGATAAAAGTCTCCCAAGAAAAGCCACGCACTCGCACTCGCACACTCCCCCCACACATTCGAACACCCACACACGCGACGAAGTAACAAACAAACGAGTGAAATTCTCTTGACGATTTTCCTCTTAGGGAAAAAAAAGCGAGTCGAAGAAATGGAACGAAAAAAAAAAAAGCGAGAGAGGTAGAGAGAGAAAGACAGAAAAAGGGGTGGGGAAAGGAGGGGAAAGGAGGAGAAACAGGAAACGAGAAAAAAGATACGAGAAAACAATTGGTAACGTTGATAATAATAAAAATAATAAAAAAAAAAAACAAAATTAATATAAATTCGTCATTTTTCCAAATATTTCAAAAATATTTTAATAATAAAAATAATAATAATAATAATAATAATAATAATAATAATAATATTTCGGGAAATAAAGTAAAAATAAACCGGAAATGGATGCGCATTTAAACGTGCGTTCAAATAATTTTTTTTTTCCTCCGTTTTGTTTGATACACTAAAAAATAAAAGGAAGCCGTAAGAAAAGTTAAGAAAATTCATATATAAAAAAATTTTTCCTACAGGTCAAAAGAAAAAGAAACCCCGACGATGATAATGATAATGATAATGATAATGATGATGATGATGATGATGATGATTAAAGTTAAAAGTTTTGTAATTTTAAATAAAATTTATGTAAAAATCGTAGTTTCTTTCCGCAACTTTGAGACTTTGTTAAATTAAACTTATTTTTTAATTATCACAAAAGGTTTTTTTTTTTGTACGAAAAGGACCTACACACGCGCACATTCTTAACCGCTAACGAGAGAACCCAAAACTTTTGTTAAACTTTAAAGAATTTTAGATAATACGCTCCAATTAACGCCGCGTTTTTTCTTCTTCTTAAAATTAATTCTAATAAAAATTAAAAAAAAAAAACTAACGAATTTTTCTTAAAATTATTATTATTATTATCATACGTAAAAAAAAATATTTCTTCCTCCGTTTTTAATTAGTGTGTTATAATAATAATAATAATAATAATAATAATAATAAATTTTAAAGGGATCGAAAAAAAAAAATTTCAATACGAAAGGGGGGGAGTTTTCGGATAAAACAAACGACGACAGGTTGTAAGTTAGCGGGAAATTTTAGAAGAGGAAAATTATTACGCCGACATAAAATGAGAAAATATTAATAATAATAATAATAATAATAAATGAGGGAACATAATAGTATTCTCTCGCTAGGAACACCAAACTACGTAGGGATGTTAAATAAAACAGCAGGAACTAAACAATGGCGAAACGAGGAGTGGAAAAACATTCTTCTATAGAAAAAAAAAAATGCTTATTAAAAAAAAAAAAATTTTCTTTCATTCCCTTTACACTGTGTGACAGAAGTCGATGAGAGACAGACAGAGAGAGAGGAAGAAAGACAGAGAGAGAGAGAGGGGGGAAAAAGAGAGGAAGAAAAAGAAACAAAAAAAAAGATAGAAAGAGAAACGAGAAAGAGGGAAAGAAAGAGAAATAGAAAAGAGGAAAAGAGAGGGAGACAGAGAGAGAGAGAGACAAAGAAAAAAGAGAAAGAGACAGAAAAAGAGAGAGGATAGAGAGAAAGAGAAAAAAAGATAGAGGAAAAAGAAAAAGGTAGAAAGAGAGGGAGAAAGCAAGAGAAAGACAAAGAAAGAGAAATAAAAGGAAAGAGAGAGAGAGGAAGAAAGTGAGAGAGAAAGTGAGAGAGAAAGAGAGAGAGAGAGAGAGAAAGGTGTAGGAAAATGAAAAAATAAAAAATCTACCGTGGACACCTCTGGCAATAAATCGAATGTATTCCGAATTCTCAAACCACACAAATATCCAGAATTATTCGTTCCAGAGAAATCCAGAAAACAATTCTGGAACAAATAAGAACGAATTTAAATCTTTTCCCGGACAAACACGCAATCATGAATCATAGCCCTTAAATGACAAAATAATAATAATAATAATAATAATAATAATGATAAAAAAAATTTAAGTACGTAAATAATATGAACGTCGTATTAATGTTAACAAAAAAAGGAAAATCAGGTACGAATTTAATGAAAATAATTTTATAATCTTACAAATCTCACACGTTCAATCCGCGTTTCCGCTCCACGTGAAACAAACAAAAAAGAAACGTGTAAATTTTTTTTTTTTGGTGGATTCGGTAACTTTCGTTTTATAGAAAAAAAAAAAAAAATTTCAATTAAAATTTTTTTTTTTTTATTGCGATCGATTACGTAAATGAAGGTTAAAATAAATAAATAAAAATGGCGGAAAGTTTTTAATAAATAAATTTCCTTTTCGTCACGAACGTGATTTTTATACGAATTCGTTCGTTTTAATTTGTCAAAGTGAATAAAAAAAAAAATTTTTTTTGCTCGAGGTTTTCACATCGTCACGTTAAACTTTTTGATAAATTTTTTTTTTTTTTAGTTAACTGAAACGCAAACGTAAACGTTTGTTTGTTTGTTTGTTTTTATTTAAAATTTTTTTATTAATTACGTAATAAAAATTACTTTAATTTTAACTCTCTTGTGGGATGAGAATGAAAATGGTTTTCGGTTCTCAAGGTTCCAAATATTAAAACCGAAAATTATTATTATTATTATTATTATTGTTTACTCTTTTCGCACACGTATCGATCAAAAAGTGACAAAAAAAATAGAGAGGGAATGAGAGAGGAAAGGAGATTCGAGGAGAAAGAAAAAAAGAGGGGAAATGGTAATGGTGTTTTTGGAGGTTGGATGCAGCGGATGTTTCGCACATTAACTGTTAAGGGCAAACTAGGGGTATTACTCAGCGCGAATATCCCGATGGATCCCGAATATTTCGCGTTGATACCAATCGGGATTTTATACCGGGTAACAAGAGTCCGATTTCGGCACGTAGGACTAAAAGGATTGCCCCTAAATTCCCACAACACATCACAACGGGTAAACAAAGAAGTAAGTTCTGCGATAAAGGGTTTTTTCAAATGCTGGGGTTGCTCCTGAGGGAGGAAATCCCCCCAACTCAAATCGACCAAACGTCCTTCCCTTTCCCTAAAACCGTAAAATAGCACGTCCAAAAGTAGTGACTCCTGCTGAATCCCATACTCATTCGGATAATGAGGTCAGTACAAAATGCATTTCTCCTGGGTCATCAAAAATAAAAAAAAGGTGGGGGGAAGGGATGAAAAGGGAAAATAGGAGCCTTTTTTGAAATTTCGAAGCGTTTTACACGTTTCAACATGTTTAACGTTGTTGTTGTTGTTTTTTTTTTTTTTTCGAATGGACAAATTTTTGACGATCGAACGGGAATAAAACAATCGCATAAATGTCAAGATTTATCCCCCTTTTTTTCCGGGATTCGTATAAACATTCGTAAACCATTGGGAATTCATATCGTTTGTTAATTAATCATCTTTTGTATGCGTGTGCGTGTGCGTTTGATATTTCCACGACCCGTAAACACCAAAAATATTTTATAACAATTTTACTATCATCATTATTATTA